TTCCAGAATTTCCAAAGTGGGGAGAGGTCACCTTAAGAGTTTGCTTGGAGCCAGAGTGTCCATGAAGTTGAGCCAAAAAAGTCAAGATGGTGGCTACAACATGTGATCAAAGCACTGCCTGTTTTTAATGTATGATATGTGTGATATACATTAAAAAAAAAGAAAAAGAACCAGAGTTGCTACCTGCTCTTCTTTGACCACACCCTGTGGACCCTCCTGCCTGGGGTGTCACAATCAGTTCTCATCCTTGCACAGTGAGAACAAGGGCAATAAAACAGGACAACCATGCTGATTAGAGAGCTGGAGCAATGTCCCTTATGAGAAAGCAGGAAATGGGGCTTTGGGGCTAGGAATGAAGTGGGGTAAGTGGTAAGGTGATAAAGGTATACAAAATCATGCAGTGATGACTTGGATAGAGTTTTTCTTGCTCTTTTGCAGTGTTAGGAGGTGAGGCTATGATGAAGAAAACACATTTTCACACAGCGCACAATGAACCTGGAATTTGCTGCCTGTTCACCCGTTTGGATGGCTTTAAAAGGGGATGTGACAAGTTCATGGAATATCTCAATGGCCACTAATATTGAGGGCTGCTTCCTAGATCAGCAGGCCTTCAACAGCATTTGCTGACAATAGACAGGGACTATTCCCCTCTGGCTTACAGGTTTCCCAAATGCATCTGCTTGGCTACTGTGTAATACCAGATACTGGACTAAGTGGGGCCCTGATCCAGTAGACATTTAAAATAGTTAAAATAAATATTTATTTATTTATTTATTTATGGAATTATTATTATTCTGCCTGACTCCCAATGACTTTGGGCGCTTTACTAGTAAAAATATTAAAAACAAGAAAATAGACAATAATGGACAAAAATGTAGAAAAGAAGATGGCAAATTTGACAAAAAACCTTGAAAAGGAATGAAAAAGAACTGAAGCCACACAATCCAAAGGGCACATCTTTCTTCCTTGCCAAAGGCCTGGGAGAAGGGCCAGGTCTTCACGGCTCTTCAAAACGCCATCAGGGTGGGAGCCATCCAGATCTCGGAGGAACCTCATTCCAGGGGGCAGGCACTGCTGCAGAGGAGGCACACTTCTGGGGTCCCAATAGATGGCACGGTTTGCTCAAAGGATCCTGGTGCGCACCAACCCTGCAAGATTGAATTGGCTGAGCAGATGCTATGTGAGACAGGTGTTCCCCCAAGTAGCCAGGCCCTGCGCCACGTAGGGCTTTATAGGTAGCAACCAAACCTTTGAATCACAGCCAGAAACAAACTGCCCACGCCGTTGCTTTCTAAACCAGTTGAAGCTTCTGGGTGGTCTTCAACAAATTTTGGTTTCATTTTAACGTTTTTAAGCCCCTGTGCATGTAACTGCTCACTCACAGCAAAGAAGCAATTATTTTCTCTTTTACATCACAAAATGATTACTCAATGTACATTCTTGAAAAGAAGGATGATTGGATGACCATTTTAAAGAAGAATATACAGGAAGAAAGAAACTCCCACATTGATAGTGGACGGGTGGGAGATGTTCAGTCAAAAGATAGGGTGAGTGTCCTTGCTCTCCACCTTCCTTCCTTCCTTCCTTCCTTCCTTCCTTCCTTCCTTCCTTCCTTCCTTCCTTC